GGGTTCGGATCCCGGGCGCACACCGACGCACCGCTTCTGCCGCCATGCTGAGGCCACGTCCCACATACAGCAACTAGAAGGATGTGCAGCTATGACATATAACTATCTACTGGGGCTTTGGGGGAAAAATAAATAAATAAAATTATTAAAAAAAAAAAGCTTATTAACTTTGTTTAACCCAATATGTCTCTAAATTATTAACCAAGGAACCGTGTTTTACATAAATTTAGTGTAACACACTTTGGAAAATACTTGTTTAAAGCTTGGGAACATTCTTATGAACAGGTAAGAAGGAAAGGAGAGGGAACTTTTAACTTTCAGTGCGCTACATTCTAATATCATTGTAATGTGGTGGTTGACGTGATGGTTCCAGGCTGACCCAGAAGGGGAACTGTCCACCCTCTAGAGTCAAATCCTTACCTTTGGAGCTTGAAGAGTTCATTTCATCAGACCACTCCAAGTAAATGAGCACAAGAAGTTGATTTATACTAACTAACATCACATGAGATGCATCTAAAATCCAGAATGCCAATGTGCCATTCTGTTGCTACATAAGGCAATATGCTGAGTGATCAGAAACATGAGCTCTGGAGTCAAATAGACTGTGATTCAAATCCCAGCTCCCTGGCTTACTACTTACGTGACCTTATGTGAGCATCACATAATAATACCATCTGCCTCCTGAATTAGTCCATATAGAGCACTCAGTCCAGGAAGCTATTACTTGCACAGGAAATCAGAACTTGGAAATACTATGTCTCATGGTCAATATTTCTGGGCTGTGATGGTGTCTGGAGGTATAGCCCTGTTCTACTGTGGAATAATTATTAACTGAAGAACATAGGGCTGAGAGTAGACATTGACTATAAATAAGGTGGATAATTTTATTCAACGGAAACTTTCTAAAAATTTTTTCACAAGAGAAGAACTACAGTTTCCAGTGGGCTTTATGGGAACTTTGCTCCACAAATAATGAGGAAGGATCAGGGGTCATAGAGCTACTGGATCTTTAATCCGTCCTAGAGTTGCCCATGTTGCAGAAAGGAAGATGTGATAGTGACATACAGCTGAGAGCTGGGGCAATATGACCTGTGAAGGGAAGGAGATTGTAAGGAGAGTTCAGCAAGAATGAGAGAAAGTGGGAATTGTTTTTAACAACAGCTAAAAAGTGTGGAACTTCAGGGACAGAAAATTATGTCCCAAGAAAATTTCTAGAATATTTCTTTGTGGTGCATGATGTAAAATCCCTGAGTAATCCTGCTTTAAGGAAACCTACACCAAAAGTCTACATTATGTTTCAAGGTTTCTAAAATCAGATTTGTGTTTCCTTGGAGTTTGATGTCACCCTTGTACTGAGACACATGGGGCCACTACATTTATTAGGGTTACCCTGACCAGGCTTCTTCTATTCAATATTTTTGTCTCCTGTACTGCTATTTCCCACCAATCACTAGACTCTTCATTCGTTGTAACAGCATGTGATTCATATCTCAAGTTTACAATGTATCATCTTATGTTATTTGCATATTTTATTACATTATCTCTTAACATATTAGATGAGCAGTTTCAGAAGACTTGGGAATTGCTTTCATTTCCTTCACAGACAGCTGTACTTTGAAATCATGTCAGAGTTGGTTACTTCTGGGAAGACTTTCTATGTATGGCTAATTCCACTGTACATAAATTATCAGTATCCAGAAACTGCAGTCTGCCTCTGTCATCAGGCCACATTGTGACTCAGTTTTCAGGAAATCCAGTCCCTTTCTAAACTATTCAGCAATTTGGAGAGTGAGGCCATGTAGGCTACCGTTGAGCACCTGCCTTTGTCAAATTATTTTCAAATATGGGCTTAGAGAGAACCAAATATAATTTGGTAGTCCTCGCTTTTTGCTGCAGTTAATTTTTGGTAGTTTGATCCAAAAGATGGATAAAAAATGGCTAGAATAAATCATTATACTTCTTATTCACCTGCTCACCTTTTAGCATCAAAGAGAAATGATAATTTGGATACTATGATTTTTATATGGAAGAAAAAACAGAGTTGCTACCAGAATATATTTAAAACAAGTTCGGGCTGCATCAGTGGAGAGCAATGTAGCTCAAACTTGAAAGCTTTCTCCTCACAATTTTTTTGTAGATTGTCACTGAAAGCATTTCTCCAAAAGGGGAGCAACTCACTTAATTAAATAACGAATACCACCAAGAACCTTCCCTGAGCTAGGCTTCAAAGATGGTCTGCTTAGGAGAGGATTAGTTGAGGGGAGAACATCAGAGCCCAGATCATCAACAGAGATGGCCTGTCAACATGCGGACCTAAGAACTAGGAGCTTCCAGGGCCTGCCTTTCCATTTTTCTCTTCCACATCCTTATTGGTTTATTCATTTGGACAGACCATGTGGCCTGATTTTTGGATCAGAAGATATGGTCACCATACTTACTGAGGAAGGAATCAGAGAATGTAGACTACTCTTTAGAGAAGGTACATAATGAAGGGAAGGCAGAGAGGATTTGGAGTTTAAAGGAGAAGGGAAATTTTATTGATTTGTTTTAAGAATAAAGGAAACTGAACATTTGTGTAGGCTAAGAAGAGTCAGTGCAAAGAAAGGGACTGAAGGTGGAGATAACCACTGAGGCAGGTTGAATAGACTTCATCACAAACCTAAGTGGGCCTTGGAGAGGAGGAGGCACACGCCATCTCAGAGGAGGAGGAGAAAATGGAAAAAATAGAAGGATTTGATCTAATTGAAGGAGTTGCTGACACTTGGCAATTATCACATTGTGATAAGTTAAGAAATGATCAAACAAATGTAAGGAAAATAAAAGTGGGTTTGGGAGTGTGAGAAGAATAGAAGAGCTACACTGCTGACGTAAAGAGGACGGTGAGTTATTTAGGGAAAAATAAATAAATCCATGTCAAGTTTGAATCTGCCCTGAGGGCCTAGCTGAAGTTAGATAACACAAACTGGCAAGGGTCCTATCGCTATGGAGCATAATTGTCAGTGTTACCATATAGTGGCCCAGGAGCCAAGTATGAATGGCTGTGTTTGCCTGGGAGTGAGGACTGGCAAGTGCAGGTGGCACATGTCAAGGTGACTGGTGAGGGAATCCTGGGTGTCGGTGGGTGCCATGTTAAAATGCTGACCGTGCACCCAGATGAAGGCCAAGGAACTGGAACTGTGCGAGGACAGAGAACGTTTAGTAGAAAGGGTGGAAGAGGAAAAAGAGGTCAAATTCAGGGCTGATGACTTCAGAGTTCAATAGTACAAAGATAGAGCACTTCAGAGTGATGGTTCCAAAGTTTTCTGCAATAGAGATAAAAAGAGTCAAGAATACTGAGGTCTGAATGTTGAGGGAGTCTTCCTTACAAACTTTGCTGTTGTCCAGTGTCCAGGCCAGATGACACTTGGTGATGAGGACTACGGTGTTGTCAGAAGGCACATGGGTTTTATTCTGCCAAAGGGTCAATAGGGGTGTTTTAAGAAATCAGAAATGTAAGAAAGACTCTGGGAAAATAGAATGTGGTCCCTTTGTGAAGCACTATGAGAAGTGTGAGGTTGGGCTGGCCAGGGAGGGACTGCCGGGAAGGAAAAGACATGAACTAGATGGAGAGCGAGAGCAGTTTGGCCCTCAGGACAGCATTTCCTGGTGTGGTTCCAAGCAACGCCAGTCACACAGAATCGCGTGGTTGATGTTGTATAAAGTATGGCTCTGGAGAAACATTGGTAAGCAGTGTAAATGGATTTCTTTACTGCAAGGCCCCTTAGAGCCTTGACAGTGTACCCATGTGCCTCATGTATTTCCAGGAAGAGAATTTGTGACATTAGTGTGTGACATTTCCCCCACTTAGCTGGCCACAAAACTGATCATACTGTAGGAAATTCTGTTCTAGGGCTCATCATAGATTTTCAGAGTTTTTTGAATGAATGGATGGATGAATAGTTAAGTAGATGAATGAATGAATGACTTATAGGCAGGAAGTTAAGAGACATATTGGGGATGAGCAGCTAAACTAAAGTGAATCTGTGCTAAGGGAATAATTTTGAGCCTACGAATGCATTTGGTACTTCTATCTAATGCACTCGCCACTTTCTCTCCCACTGCCACCTTCTTATTACCAGTTGTGGAACAGGGAATAAGATTTATTTATTTTAGGGGCCGGCCCGTGGCTTAGCGGTTAAGTGCGCGTGCTCCGCTGCTGGCGGCCCGGGTTCGGAGCCGTGGCGCGCACCGATGCACCGCTTCTCCGGCCATGCTGAGGCCGCGTCCCACGTACAGCAACTAGAAGGACGTGCAGCTATGACATGCAACTATCTGCTGGGGCTTTGGGGGAGAAATAAATAAATTTAAGAAAAAAAGATTTATTTATTTTATTTCTTTAGACACGTCTCCTTATTACCTATTCCTTCCTTACTTTTGTAGGTGGTTCTGTCCCTGCAAACCCCCAAATGGATCTCAGTGAATCAGAGTCTTTGAAGGTAGAATGTTGGCAGAGTAGACCATGAAGTTTTGAAACCTTGTGTGCAGAGGGTCCCCAGGTCTCCTGCATATTTACACACAGTGTGCATATACATGTACATGCCTCCTCCACTACAGCCTTCCTTCCTCTTCCATTTCAGTTGCTGTGCCCACACTCACCCTCATTTCTTTTCACTCTGATGAAATTCTCATCACTCTGATGGTTAGCACTGGAGGACAGGAAGCAAATAGTATATTTTACTTTTTTACTGCTCTGCAAAGTGTCATAGTGACCTCATTAGGGAATGGTGTGCTAGATCAATTCTGCTTCTGAAAATAGGAAACTAAGCCTCCCCGGGTGGCAGGAGGGCACAGGCAGGACAGATATTAGAAAGGTTTTCGTAACAAGAAAGATAGTATAGAACTATGCACCAAGCAGAAACTTTGGTTAAGAAACCTATAAGATTTTGAATGGCTCTCAAGTAAACAGCTGTTTGGGGAATGCCGACCTTGGTGTCACCATGACTTTTGTTGCTTTATTTTAGAACGCCAACCGGGCACCTCTATGGCCAATTCTAGTGCCCTCCCTTCAAGTTCAGCTGGGATCAGCAAGGAACTGATTGATCTGCAACCCCTCATCCAGTTCCCAGAGGAGGTCGCCAGCATCCTGATGGAGCAGGAGCAGAATATTTACCGGAAGGTCTTGCCAGTTGACTATCTTTGCTTCTTGACCCGGGACTTGGGCACTCCGGAATGCCAGAGGTCCCTGCCCTGCCTCAGAACGTCCATCTCAGCATCGATTCTTACCTCCCAGAATGGAGAGCACAATGCCCTTGAAGATCTTGTGATGAGATTTAATGAGGTAAGAAGCCACTTTGAGATGTTTTTGCAATTGAAAAGCTAGTAAATGATTTTTAAGCGTATTTCTCCTTTTAGGTTTGTCTGTTACTGATATTTCGTCTACCTGTCTTGCCACTTCCATGATGGCCACTTTCTTTCCAGTCAATGAGGATAAACAACACATTGTCATCTTCCCTCTCACTTCACATCTTCCTACCCTGAAGCCTAATTGATCCTGTCTCCACCCCATGTCTCTACCAAGTGCACAAGCCTTCTCCCTCTGGACAACTAGTCCCTCCTTTTTCTCCCCTCTCTTGCCAAAATATTCTCCCTGGGCCCCTTTTCAAATATTCTCCCCCTTGTTCCTACAGGTGCTTTTAAGACTAGATATCTCAATTTTGAGGATTTTTTGTTTTTGTGTGTGTGTGTGTGAGAAAGATTAGACCTGAGCTAACATCTGATGCCAATCCTCCTCTTTTTTGCTGAGAAAGATTGGCCCTGGGCTAACATCTGTGCCCATCTTCCTCTACTTTATATGGGACGCTGCCACAGCATGGCCTGACAAGCGGTGGGTCGGTCTGCTCCTAGGATCCAAACCTGCGAACCCCGGGCAGCCGCAGTGGAGCGCGCGAACATAACTGCTATGCCACCGGGCCAGCCCCTCAATTTTGAGTTTTGACAACATGATCCCTGGCCACAGGATCTGTCTAGCCCACTCCCTCTTCCCCTATCAGGCCTCCTCTGCAGAAAGTAAACACCAACACTCCTGGGTCAGGAGAGTAGGGAGGAAGGTCAGCTTGAGGGGCAATGAATCACCCTACTCCTGCTTTATGTATCCCATCAAGATCTTCAGCCCAGAAAGTTCCTCCAAGGCCTCCGAGACCTTACCAGCAGCCAGTTCTAAAGAGGACAGTTGTGACTGGAGTCTGGGAACACTTAGGAGGGAGGTGCTGTAGGAGGTATAGGGGCTCGCTGGGAGGACAAGAGCCAATGGCTGACATCCTGTGAACTGGAGCAGGGCGAGGGACAGGAAGGAGAGGCGGGTCACCATACAGTGCTAGGGTCCGGGGATACTGTGCTCTTGGGCTTAAAGAACGCTTTCTCTCCATGTTATAACCCCACACCCAGAGTTTTCTGTTCTACATTTTCTTTCTTTTAGACTTAATTTCTTTTGCCTTGAATATTAAAACACAACATTTCAATCTGTGCATTTTTTGGTTGTTGGTTGGTTAAACTCCACAAATATAGTAGTTTTCTATTTTAATCATCTCGTAAACTACCTAAATGCTAAAAGGATGCTCCCCTTTGGGATTCCGTATATCTCTGATTGACAGAGGATCCATCAGCCTTTGTTACTTAAACACTTTCTAATCACAGCAGCTCCTTGCGGCCTCCGTAGCCTGCCAATCATGACCCTGATGATGGTTGTAAATGTCAGTCATCATGAGGCTCAGTGGATGCAGAAAGTGTTAGAGGCTGAGCTCAAGGAATTCTGTGTCCAGACGTGCCCTGAACGCCGTTCCTCAAAGGAAGATCCGTTATCCATGGGAATCGCTGATAGCCATCTAGCCCCGTCATGCGAATCATTTTACACGTACCACTTATTCATTCCTCACAACAACCCTGGGAGACAGACACTGTCAATTGCTCCGTCTTACCAACGGGGAAATTGAGGCACGAGGAGATGAAGTCATTTGCACAAGTTTACACAGGTGGTAGATGGCAATGGTGAGATTCCAACCCACATTGTTCAGAGCCTGGGCTTTGAACCACTACAGAACCCTGCCTCTCAACATGTTTCAGGCTCACGCTGGGGAGTGGTGCCTGATAAAATGCAGATTCCTAGTCCCACCCCTAACTGAGTCAGACAGACTCTCTGGGAGTCCACATGAGAGCTTGTGAACCACACTGCCCCCAAGGTGCTTTCTAAAATAAATCTCTTGGTGTTCTTGATTTTCCTTACTGATAAAAACAGGGTGGAAAATTAAAGCTCCAATAAATTGAGAGATTTTATTAGTGGATTTTACTGTATTTGGTGAACTGTTTTAAACTTCCAGATCTACTCACTCTCACATCCTTAGGACCTTATCTTTGTCCGTTGTTGTTATTGTTTTTGTTTTAAATTCTACCTGATCTTACAAGTGATTTGCCTAAACTTTTAAAATCTAATTTTAAATTAATTTTGGAGAAAGAAAACTTGGATTTCTTCCATTCACTACGATAACCTTTGGAATCAAAGATGAATCAGTGATTTCACTAATTTAGAGTTAGTGATGGTCTGAACCACAGCTGGATTGAGGCATGCTTTGGACTATCTCTGAAAATAGTTTAGCTAAGCAACTTCAGAACATAAACAAGATTTCTGGGAAAACACTTAAACTACTTAAGAGAACAGTCTGTTTTCAAGTATTCTCAGGCATCTATTTTCATACAAATTATGGGTATGCTGATTAAAAATCAGTCTTATATAGTAATTGCAGGCAGATTCCAAATGACCTTCATCAGGCAACAGTGGGATAACTAAATTCTAGTTGCCTTATATACCTTAGGGTAGAAAAGCTACACTACATTATATTCAGATTTTTCACCTATTTGGAGGGGTCTTGCCTCCAAATTAGTGTGGCTTTACTTTCTGTAACAAAAAGGATGGAAAGGAGCTAGCATTTATTTACTAGGTGCTCTGCACTGGGCATTTCCACATTTTTTAATCCCATCTAATCCTTATGACAGTTGTGTAAGGCAGTTGCCATTATCTCTGACTCACAGATGAAGAAAGGGGAGTTTAAACAACAAAATAAATAATGATAGTATTGGATATGGTCCATAGAATAAAATAAATATTCATGAGTTCTTACTGATTTAAATAAATAATCAAATAAATAAATCAATGACAGGGGAGGGGAAGGTACAGCTCTTATAAAAGAATTCCAATTAATAAATGTAGAGGGAATGAGGGAAATAGGAAATCCCCATTAGGACACCCCAGTAATAAATTGTTACAGGCAAGAACCACTGATGAATGCTAAAATTATTGGGCAAAAGTATGATGAGAAGCGAGATATTTGCATAGTCCCACAGTATCTCTCCACAAAATATTTGTTAATTACAAAAGGAAAAATAGAACAGTGGAGAAACCCAGTAGATATCACCTTAAATAAGTGCTCAAGGTCAACATGACCAGTAATAAGACATATTGACAAGTATCTTCTGATATGATGCACTGAGAAGGACATGACATCATCTCTATGGTGTTCTTGCCAAAAAAAAATAATGCATTACCTGAATCTAATCATAAGAAAAAAACCATCAGACAACCCCAGACTGGGAACATTCTACTCTTCAAAAGTGTCCAGGTCATGAATGGCAGGGAAAGACTGAGCAACTGTCAAAGAGTAGAGGAGAAAAGGAGACAGGACTAAAGGTGGTGTAGGATGCTATCGGATCCTGGACTAGAAAAAGAATGTTAATGGGAAAACTGGTAAAATTCTAATAAGGCATGTAGTTTAATTAGTATTAATATATCAACGTTAATTTTCTGGTTTGGATAATAGTACTATGGTTATGAAACACGCTAACATTAGGAGAATCTGGGTGAACTGCATACAGGAATTCTCTGTACTATTTTTGCAACTTTTCTGTAAATCTAAAATTACTTCAAAATAAAGTTAAAAAAAATAGTGAAGCTCAGAGAGGTTGAGTCACTGGTCCAAGGTCACACAGTGGCTGAGTGAATGTCAGAATCCAGACGTCTATCTTCAAAGTCTGTTCTCTTCTCACCCAACTGCCTTGCCTCTCTACTTGTTAAATTATCAAGTTTGTAGTAAAACCAGAATTGCTGATTTAGAATTTAATTATCCTTGAGTCTCCTTTTCCTCTTACCCCTCTCTCTTTCTACTTTTTAGAAAAATCTCCTGTGCATCTATTTTTTTTCTACTCCTCTTTCTGTTTCTATTTTTACCCAGTATCCTATTAGCACTCACTCATTCATTCACTCACTCAAGACTTATTTACTGAGGACCTCTATGCTATAGCCTTCTTCTCTTTTTTTATTGGTGTGTCAAACATAGTCTTTTAAATAAGAAATTTGCAATATATGATGAAAATTTACAACATTATAAACCTATACTTTGGTTGATGCACAAAATAATTGCCCTTTCTTCAGTGGTAGGAAGATACGTATTCCTTGGAAGACTGGAGAATCTCAAAGAGAAAAGAGAGAATATGAGCTCCATCGCAGGAGTGCCACTCACTTAGGGGAGAGGCGCACGCATTTATTCATGCATTCAATCACTCAGTTAACATTCATTCAGCACTTCTCAGAAGCAGGGCACCATGGTGGATACACACTAAAGAAAGTGAGTAACGGACTGCAGCTGCCGGAAGCTACCAGTCTTGAATTGTAGTCAGGCACGGGCACGAATCACTACCAAAAAAGGCAGGAAGTAAGTGCAGTGTGAGTGGCACAGTTGGTGGGAGCTGAGGTGTCTAGGTGGGTGATCAGAGCTCTTTCTGCTCAGCTGTGGGGTTTGGAGCCAGGCCTCGAGGGATGGCTGGGATAGAGGGGGACATCACAGGGAAGAGAGGACATTCCAGACAAGAAGACAACCAGTCCTTATCCTGAGCAAGACTCATGGTCCAGGGAGGCAGCTTGTTCCTGATTGTCAGTAGAACATGATCATGAGCTAGAAGTTTCCCGAAGTCTAACAGCTCTTTGCACAATGACTTAACTGTAATATGGGGAAAGGGAAGAAAATCCCTGGTGCCTTTCGGGCAATCTTGCGTAACATTCGTTCTTAGGAAAATATGGTTAAAATGCAATTCAAAGTACAATCATGAAATAACTGAAAGGATTTGGCTTATGTGAAGGAAGGCCAAGAGATAAAATCATTTTAAATCAATTTATATTGTGGCTTGGAAGCAATGTTTCTCCCCATTCTCTCATCTCCTGCCTAATGTCAAGACTGGAGCACACCAGAGTAACTTCTTAAAGTTAAAGGTGGTCATCTCTTTATCCTCGCAGGT